GAGTGTCAATGTAAATCCCAATTATTTAGACACCATTACTAACAGATTACGTATGCTTCATGACTAACTCACCATGGAGAGTTATTCCACCAGAAACCGTTGAAAATTAAGAGGAACTAACAATTGTAAACTAATAACTGTGACTAATTTGTGATGTATATCTTCATTGTCTCTTGTGAGCCAGTTCATGCAGCAAGACTTTTTTTACTGTCTCTTTATTGAAGCGACTGACAAGTTTGGTTAAAAGAAAAGTTTTACTAAATAAAATCGAGGCATTTATTAACCCCATGATAAAGATTCGAGATGTAACAACAGCGACCAGCATCGTTCAAAGGTACATAGTTCTGAGTTGTGAAGAGCACTCTGACCTGGGAAGTCATTTAAGCTCTTGGCAATAAGAAAAATATACAGTACACATAGTAACATACAAAGGGAAATTAACTACAAAAACTAATAGGAATAAAACACACAAGATGGATCAATACTATCACACCAAGCAGAACACCAGTATTTGTTGAAAATATCATTAAATTATTAATGTCAGAAGATTCTCTAAAAGGTCCATGAGATCCCTACAGCCACCCCGGTAATTACAACAGCCAGGGCGAAAGCGAAAAAGATATGTCGAAGGCAAAATTTTAAAATGTGTTGTATAGTCAGCTCCACCACAAGTTATACAGAGGGAAGCAGGTGTACCTGTTACCAGGTGGCTGTGAGAGGTGTGTTCTCGATCCTCAGTTGGTAAAGTCGTCTCGAGTTGATGATCAATAAATACCCATGTGTTGCTGAAACCTGAGTAGCTTGCTTCTCGTCTGTAGGGCCCACCAGTTTCGCCTCTTTCCCAGGACATATTTATGAATGTTGGCCATGACGCCACTGTCGTAAGACAATAAGTATTATAGAGCGAGTTTGTTAGAGTGGCCTTCGTCTCTGCATTTGTCCGTTCATTTCCCGGGACACCAGCGTGGCTTTGGTATACCGGGCCAAGGCAAACAGAACACGTTGGGAATCTGGGTGGACAGTGAATCGAGATCCAACTAAGCCAGCTATCAGGACGAGAGCTGTGATGGTTGCGTGGAGCTCTGAACTGAACACAGAGAACTAGTCTGCTAACTGTGCACAATACGAGTTATCACTCTGGTAAAACTGAACGCTCGTCACTCCGTTTTCGAAATAGGCTGTGACGACCAATAATTTTTTTTAGCATACTGCCTAATGTTATCGCAAGAAGAATGCATGTTCTAGTCTTAGGTATTTAGAATCCAGAGATAGTTTATGTTTCAAGGAGTGGTTGTGGTTGAAACCCACGCTCATGTAGCCATGAAGGCTCCAATAATATTGTTCCAAATACTTATACTTAAGCACTAACAACGTTAGCATGGGCCACCACTGTGACCAAATATGCAAAATTTTATGGAAAATTATCCCCTAGCATGACCAGCGACCAGATCTAGCACTAGGTCATTCACTGCCACTGTCGATAATTCTAGAAAAATCGCGTTGGACGACTGTAAAGAACTGAACGATTATCTCGAATCATTGAAGAAACACACTGGCGGGAGACTGTTACATAGAAAGTTGCATCTGTGATCACAGTGGTGACCCGTTTTAACTTCTCTAATATAAAAATGTACCTAGTTGTAGGAACATGTAGCCTTCATGGTCCAGTGGCTGTGACCATCTAGGGCTGCCTAGATGTCTGCCTGAACCCTGCCACTCCTACAATAGTTTACATTTGTTCATTAATATTTTATCGAATCATGATTACATCTGTGTTTTCAAGACATTTATATATTTTAGACATATTTACATGTATTGTAACCACACTGACGAGTAATGCACACGTTTATAAATATTCTAAATATATCTAAAATTTTACACGTATTCTAAACAGTATTACACAGATTGTAAACATGTTTGCGCGATTTATAGAATTGCTTATAGTAACAACTACACTACATCAGGGTGTGGGATACACCCTCCGTAATTTGCCTGGAATACAAACAAAAGTGGTAGTAATGACAGTTTTGCGACCGGACGTATTTTACTTCAGATCCTTGAAACCTGCCGCTGTGTCCCACACTATTTCCATGGCCTTCCCTCTGCGTTGTTTATGTAAGAAATTATCCACCCCAAATTCCCCCCCTTCCCCTCCCCCGTCCTCGCTCCCTCGCCTCCACCTTTTCAGCACTTCCACCTTTCGACCAGCTCGCAGGAAACGAAATGGACTTAAAACAGCGAGTGCAAGGTCTGCGTGCGTGTTTACGCCTGTGTGATTGTGCAGTCATCTAGTTACAATCATCTACTCGAGTTAGTAGTTTTTGGAGCTTTCCTGACTTCCTGTTAACTGCGTTTATCTGCATATACCTGGTTTAATTTTGTAGCTGTGTGTTCTTGTTCGTTCTTCCATGTGGCGCACTAGTGTTCTCCAAGTCCTTACTCCCCAGACACTGGAGAAACACTTTTTAGCATTCCTATGAGTCATCTATCGCAACTCCTACTTCTGGCTGTGCGTAATGCAGATAAGTGTGTACCTTCTCTCTTCCTTTGAATATCTTGTATATCGTAATCATGTCTTCCCTGCTGTCTTCCCTATTGTAGTGTCATGAGGTTCGGTACATAGGGTCGTTCTCCGTGGCTCTAGTTCCACAGCTCCGGTACCAGTCTTGTTGCAGTTCTTTGGACTTTTCCTTTATCGTGTTTGAATAGTCTTGGGCTCGACGCCTGTGTTGAGTATTCTAGATCTGTTCTGATATATATTGTGGAGGGTAGTGAGTGCTTCCTTATAAAGGGCTTCCTGTATACTAGTATTCTTTAGTTTGCTATGTTATCATACGTGGCAGAGGTTATATGAATTGTGTGTGTGTGTGTGTGTGTGTGTGTGTGTGTGTGTGTGTGTGTGTGTGTGTGTGTGTGTGTGTGTTTTGATTATTTTTTTGTCATTATCAATTTGTAGCAGCAGAAGCAGAGCAGAGGTCTGCTTGTAGTGCCTCGTCTTTAGAAATATTTTCATCACATTTTCGTCTTACATAACCAATAACTATGGCACTTCCTCCTTGCTCTTTTAAATCACTGCACTCATCTACCACTCTGTGAAGAAACTTACTGTTGTTTTCCCTTTGGCTTCATCTTTTTTTCCGAATTTGTCACCACTAAAGACTCTTATCACTCCTGTTGCAGGTACCAAGAAGTCTCCTTTAATTATATTCAACTTCTTTATATAATCTTATCTTTCGTTATCATATCTCCTCTGTTCCCCTTAGTGTTAACAACCTTCCATTATTTTTCTGGTAGTCATTTTTTATTTTTGGGGGGACATTAATTTTGGCCTATCATGTGTTACTGTGTTGATAACATGTGTTGATAGCATGTGTTGATAACATGTTTTGATAACATGTGTTGATAACATGTGTTGATAACGTGTTGATAACATGTGTTGATAACAGCTTCTTAACAATTCATCATACCAATATTTGAGAAGTACTTCAAAGAGTGTCAGTGTAGCACAACAGTGTCTTACAATTTCATTCACATGATCTTCCATCGACATACTTTTGTTAATTTCTCCAAGATCTTTCTCTCTTGATGTTTTCTTTATCCTATTATACAGACTATATTCCTTTAGAGGAAAGATTTCGCTTTTTAGTATTTCCATTACATGGCATTTATCTATATTCAGTTCCAGCTATATTTATCACTATATTTATCACTATTTGCTCAACTTGTCCTATTCATCCTGTGGTGATTTACTGTCCCTTTTATTATTTGACCTAAGATTTTGTATCGTCTCCTATAAGTAAGTTTATTTATGTACAGGTACACATAAGTATAGTTTATCGTACATAGTAACATACGTGTAAATTCGGATAATCCCAGAAAAGCCAGAGTGATTTATTTCCATTGAGATATTCATAAAGTCTTCGATTCCTTCTTGCAAGTCACTTACATATATAAATTAAAAACATCGGAGTACAGATCCTTACGGTACCCCACTGGTGACATTTCCCACGAGGGCATTTTTTTCCTCTTACAACTGTTTGAGGTTTCCTCTCAGAAGAAAATATCTCTAATTAATTGCGGTAGTTTACCCTTTAATCCCTTCCATATTTTGCACTTTTCAACTTAGTCTTTTATGGGGAACTATTCTAGCACGACTCACGAAATCGTAGTGACACGACTGCAAACAAACCATAACTCGGGTGGGGCTTGAACCCGCGGTCAGAAAGTCGTAGAATTTCAGACCGACGCGTTATCCACTGGGCCAGCTGTCTACAGTAAAATTTATCCAACTAAGTACATTTATACACTATAGATGCAAGTTTTTCCAGGCAAATCTCCCGCCAGCGTGGCCGTGACGGACTTTAGCTCAAGTTCCTTCAAAGCCGTCATCATGACGTACCAGCAGTCTACCACTGTCAAGAAAAGTTTTCTGTTGCCCTTTCGGTTCCGTTGTTTTACCTGTTTAAATCTATCATTAGTGTTAATATAATCATTGGGACTGCTACCTGTTCGTAATCATACCCTCTTGTTCGACCTGTTAGGGAGGGAGGGAGAGAGAGAGAGAGAGAGAGAGAGAGAGAGAGAGAGAGAGAGAGAGAGAGAGAGAGGAGAGAGAGGAGAGAGAGAGAGAGAGAGAGGAGAGAGAGAGGAGAGAGGAGACGAGAATGAGAAGAGAGAGAGAGGAGAGAGAGAGAGAGAGAGAATTATTACTCTTGAACAAAAACAACTTTTTTTTTTTTACTCTGGGTGTATATTAGTGACTTACCTCACCATCATGTCTGGTAAGAGGTGTTCAAGTGGTCTGTCTGACATTTCTCGACGAGAAGAACACATTAGAGGTGCTCCAACTTAAGTCAAGTTTTAACAAATATTTCGATTTCCAGATACAGACTGTGGGAACTTTTTCTCGGTGTTTTTATTATTATTATTATTATTATTATTATTAATTATTTATATATTATTATTATTATTATTATTATTATATTATTATTATTTTCCAGGATTGCTACGTTGTGCGGTGATATGGGAACCCAGCACTGACACGTGAGTACTGGTAATTATGTGTAAGATTAGCATGTGTGCACTGGTAGGTGTTGGTTAGATTAACACTCGTGTACTGGTAGATCACTAAAATATGTGTACTGGCTGAGTTTTTATAAGAGCAACACCAGTGCACGTCTTACTAAGTTTGTTTTCTTACGAAGTTCCCAACGTCAGTGTCTTTAACGCTTTCCCTAAACTTACAAATGTAATTTTCTTTGAGTTACGTTAGACTAGGTTAAGTTAAATTACGTTAAGATAGGTTTAGCTACGTTTGGACAGGTTAGGTTACGTTAGATTGAGTTAGGCTAAATTAGGCAAGATTATATTAGGTTAGGTTAGGTAAGGTTTACCTATGTTAGGTAATGTTGGATTAAGTTAGCATGAGTAAGGTTAATTTAAGATTGAATTAGGTTACATATACCTATAAAAACAAATACCGGAGTGCAAATAAGAAAATAAAAATGTGTCAGCGGTACAGTCTGGCGACGAGGCTGCGTTATTAATGTTGGTAGAATTACCGACAATATATTAAGTAAGAGGACGCTAATGTAATTAATGTGACATATTATTGTGGCAACGTTTCGCTCTCCAGGGGCTTTATCAAACCGGTTTGATAAAGCTCCTGGAGAGCGAAACGTTGCCACAATAAAATGTCACATTAGTTGCATTTGTGTCCTTTTACTTGGCAGCGAGGTGACTGAAGGTAGCCAGGCAACGTTCAAATCTGTACGATCGTCACTGATGGTGCTAGAAAGGCTTCAAAATTTTTTTTCCCCCGTATAGCTTAATTTAGTCATTTATTTTTATCACTACCATCATTACCACTATTCTTCTTCATTATTAATTATTATTAATTATTATTATTATTATTATTATTATTATTATTATTATATGAAGTAGGTATGGTAAGAAACAAGTGAGTGGAACTCTGACCGTGGTCTGTTTATGAAAATCGCTGTTAAGCCCGTGAGGGTCAATGAACGCAAGGAATGGTGCGGGCTCGAATATCCGTCTTATTATTGCGGGACAGACATGTTACGTCACTAATCCAACACTCTCCTGCCGTCCAAGAATATACATTCCCCACTTACCCCTTCCCCCTCCGTCCCGTCTCTCACCTGTCACCCGTCACAGAACTGCAGCAGGTTCGCGAGTCAGGATTTACCGTCTCCCAATCTGTGTATACAGATATTTCTCTACTTTGCCTTTATCTACTTCACTGCCGTAGATAGTATGCATATCCAGGGTATTAGTGTGTGTGTGTGTGTGTGTGTGTGTGTGTGTGTGTGTGTGTGTGTGTGTGTGTGTGTGTGTGTGTGTGTGTGTGTGTGTGTGTGTGTGACGATGTTCAGGGGTTCTGACAGAACCTGGCAGGCAGTACGACCTGTCTGCCACTTTCCACTCTGCATGCTTCACGTTCTTTGCCTTGACAGCGTCTGGCAGACCCACCTCGCGGAAGATCTGACGCTTCCTGGAGTTACATTTTGAAGATAATCTCAGGTGGGTTACCTGCTTGTTCTGCCTGCGGACATCTTCATCCAGGTGTGTTACAAACATTTTGTAAGTTGCTGTTACTGAGATGGAGGTTGATTTCTTTCAGAATCCTGAGATTATTGACAAGTAATGGCGTTTATTATGTCTGGGTCTTTTCCCTCTCAAATTCAACACACAGCTTCAAGAGTAGGTATGATAAAGGCCTAAGAAGCCAGAAATTAGTGGTGCTGATCACGACGGTCTAGGAGGCAGGGTCAGGAGCTGAGTCTCGACCTCCGCCAGCACATCTCCATGATCACATGAATGAATGCATTCACAAACACTTACACGTACATTCATGCACATACAAAAAAAGGACAGATGTCTGTCAGCAAGTGCCTTTGACAACCAGTAACTAACACACAGACAGACAGACAGACAGACAGACAGACACACACACACACACACACACACACACACACACACGCACACACACACACACACACACACACCCACACACATCCACACACACACACACAACACATCCAACATACACACATCCAAACACACACATCCAACACACCACACATCTACACACACACACATCCACACACACACACATCCACACACACACATCCACACACAACACATCCACACACACACACACACATCCAACACACACACATCCACACACACACGAGACACACACAAACAGCATAACATCAGTGATACACCGCTACCAAATGCAGCAACCACCACCACCTTCAAGAAAGTGAGCTGGAAAATCTTCAAGACGCTGTGAGTACCTTCCAGAGGAGTGCTCAAGCAGCCAACATGGGAGTGAAAACCAGTCCTAGCAAAGTAAATGAAAAATTAACTCCTGACCTTCGACAGCAAATTTATCCTTCAGCTACGGAACGTGGATCTTATAAATCTCTAAACAGCGGGTAAATCTAGCGATTTTCTGCTCACGTACGGTACATGTACTTAGAGAGTGTTCCAGGGGCCAACCCCCCCCTCCCGCAGCCCAGTCCTTGACCAGGCCTCATTATTTGCTTTCCAGCATGTTTCCAAAGGGTTCTTAACTTGTGGTGTTTCCTTTCCAATTTCCCTTAGTAAGAGGGAGGGACGGGAAGCCTTCCTGCGAGAGTAGGTGTTCTCAGAGATGATAAGCTCACGGAAGCTGATGCCTATACCACAGCTGGGGCTCACTGACCCACACGAGATTACCACCTTAAAAGAATAATAATAATGATAATTATAATAATACTCACGAGGGTTTCTACACAACATTACATCAATTTTGTTATTTATATGCAAATTGCAGACATTTTAAATGCGTCAGCAGACGCCTCAGATCGTGTTGAAACGTCGAAATATACAATAAAAACTATTTTTTATAGTTATCCACGTTTCAGTAGGCGACTGTATTTAATAAATAGCTGTTGAAAGGGAAAAATGAAAGCATGCTTTAACTGTAGTTAAATTTGTGAAATGCGTGGAGAGAAGTGGACAATATAGCAGTCTTGTTCACGCAGCTGGAAGCCAGAGCAGTGCAGAGAGAGACATTCAGGAGTGCAGAGAGATTTCATGAGGTGTTAAGAGAATGTCTCAAGATATTTGGGGCCAAATGCGAGAAGGAATACATTGGGAGACCTGAAGGTTCAAGTGGGAGACACATAACCGAGGGACAGCCTCGGGTATGTGATAACCCGGGGAGAGCCTCGGGTATGTGATAACCCGGGGAGAGCCTCGGGTATGTGATAACCCGGGGAGAGCCTCGGGTATGTGATAACCGGGGAGAGCCTGGGTATGTGATAACCCGGGGAGAGCCTGGGTAGTGTAACCCGGGGAGAGCCTCGGGTATGTGATAACCCGGGTAACCTTATAATTAAGCTTGATTAGAGAGAGTGATTGGTAATAGCGCTTGAGCGTGATGAAGCGCACGTTTAGCGCAGTCTGCTGGAACATGTATTAGCGGATAGAAGAACGTACAGCATGATCTGACTATATATAATTTTGGAGTAGGAAGGTGATTTTGTCAGTGGGTGAAATAATGGCGGCAGTGAAAGAATTGTTGAAATTATGATTAAGAGAGAGAGAGAGAGAGAGAGAGAGAGAGAGAGAAGAGAGAGAGAGGAGAGGAGAGAGAGAGGAGAGAGGAGAGAGAGAGAGAAGAGAGAAGAGAACAAAGCAAGACGCCTCATCTCTCGCCTGGACCCATCCTGGATAGATCTGTCATTTTAACAGGGCCGTCAACACAGGATGGATATGGACGGCCTTGCTTTTATGTACAAGACCAACATTGTCAAAGTACCACACTTGGATCCACTTCGAGGAGAGCGTGAAGTAAGCTTCTGTACCACAAGACGGGCAGAAAGCACCAATTTCACTATGGCTGTTCCTTTCTCCAGAACATTACTCCATCTGAGATCATTTATCCTCAGGATGACTCGAGTCTGGAACATATTCGTGCAGCATTATGAAGTAATCGAGATAAAGTCGGCTGATCAAATGAAAATGCTGGTCCACAGATGGCTCCAACTTCATCCTGTTCTCTACTTGTATGTTTCATAACAAGTAAAAATGCTTTCAAATGAGCTGATGTAGGTAACAGCTCTTAGCTTATCAATAAGTTAGGGTTCCTTAACCTAACTTTGTCAAACCTTATGTAAAGAGAGAGAGAGAGAGAGAGAGAGAGAGGAGAGAGGAGAGAGAGAGGAGAGGAGAGAGAGAGAGGAGAGAGATGAGAGAGAGAGAGAGAAGAGAGAGAGAGAAGAAAATTGATTTTGACAACCATAGACAAAGAAATTTCGTGCGTGAAGATGAATACGATTTGTTAGAAAGGAAGAGGCAGAAGTAAATAAGAAGTGGGTGATGCAGTGAGCAGTAAGACAAACTATTATTGGCTCAGGGGTGTTTCCCTCTGTGTATACTTTTTTATCAAGTCACAGGGAGAAACATTGTCCCCCAGTAAAGCTTGTTATGGAGAGTTTTTTTTTTTTCACTCTTGTCGTCATTACACAAGTTGGATCAAAGTTAAGCGTAGAAAAAAAAGACCAAAGATAATATGTATGTATGTATGAATGTATATGTATTCATGTAAGTAATGACTGAATTATACACTGACCGTATTGGTAGTCCATTCGAATTACCCACATTCCTTAGTACAATATGTATGTATGTATTTATGTATGGTAAATATAAGGAAAGTATTATTAAAAACAAAAAAACGTGATTACAAAGAAACGAAGCTGACAAAACAGGGAAGATAACGTGTAGGATGAGCGTTTGACACATGTAAGTGAACAAGCAGGGAAGGTCGTGCGTCCAGTGTTTATATTGACACATGTAAATGAACAAGCAGGGAAGGTCGTGCGTCCAGTGTTTATATTGACACATGTAAGTGAACAAGCAGGGAAGGTCGTGCGTCCAGTGTTTATATTGACACATGTAAATGAACAAGCAGGGAAGGTCGTGCGTCCAGTGTTTATATTGACACATGTAAGTGAACAAGCAGGAAGGTC